ATCTGTTGTTAATGGCGGTTTGTTTTGGCTAAAACAATAGCACTTAAAAACACTGCTCAGTAATCTGTGCTCTCGAGGTCCTAAATAAATTTTACTGCAGTACTTTTCTTTGTATTTCCAAAAATGCTGTAATGAAGAAACAAATATAATGTTTATACAACGAGTTATAAAACAGTAATGAAGCTATATGCTTGAGAAATTTATTGTTTGTTGGTAGCTGAACTTAATGAAAGGAAGAATATACGTTATAAATTTGAAACAATAATGTTTCTGTGCAAGCTTTATGTAAATTGTGTTTTATCTGTTACAACTGAAGTACATCAGAAATGTATTCTGTAACAACAAATGCAATAATAAATACGAATTGATGAAACAGTGTGTTGTAATTACAACTTTTTTGACTGTTATATATAACAGAGGAAAAGTATGGCGATCAGACAAAAAGTGATCATCTCCCAAGATTTTTACATTATTAGACTTAAAACACATTGAAACGTAGAGAAATGGGAAAATATTTGGGTTAATTAATGTGTGTATGTTTGGGGGTCACAATTTTGTTCACCCAATTTGAAGTATAATAACTCCTATGCTTTTCGTCGAAAATTTTTGATGTTTTGCAGGATGGTTCGGTTATTGGGGGAATCAATGCTGTTAAATTTTTCTGGTTGAAGGTCAAAAGGGTGGGAAGATGATTGGAGTCGTGTGTATCTATAGTAGAGTCGGACTTGATGACGATTTTACTTGTTATTAGCATTTACAGTTTTTTTAAATTAAACCCTACCATGAAAATTAAGCTTTTTACCATTTTATAATAGTTAAAATACATAAACATGTTAAAAATAAAATATGATAACAGATGACATTGGTAGAGTAAGTTAAGCAACTCGTTGCTGGATATTTAATTTGTTGTTTGAACCACAACTGCACTTGTTAGAAAATGACATTGGAAAAAGGAACCATCGTAAATACCTCTTGGTAATATTACGGCCACAAATACAATTTACTTTTTCATGCACCTTTAAAAATATTTTAAGTTACAATGTAATGATTAACGTTAATGAAATTGTTACAAAGAATTATTGTTGCAAGAGATAAAAATATTCTAGTTAAGTTTGATTCATTATAATCAAGTGAATGTTTAAATATAATCAAATATTTAAATATTTACCTTTCCTAATTGTCAGGGTAGAAACTGAACAGAAACTTACAACACCATGTCTTATCAGTAATATCTTTATTGAAAGTAAAAGTACAGTAGAAGCTATATTGAAATATTTTTAAAATACTTTTCAACAGAACTCTTGGCATTTATAGAAATGAGAAAAATTGCTAGATAAATACATGGAGCTACATATGTAAAGGTGGTTTACAGAAAGAACTTTGGAGTGTCTCTACACACTAAAACCTCTAGGCTTATTGGTCAATGTCTTAAGAAAATATTTAGATTTGATAAAAATTGCCAAGACAAATAACAAATTTTAAGAAAATTCTTATAATACACAATACATAAAAGTGTCATCTATTAATAACTTTGTCCTTTTAAACACACATGAGGAAATTAACAGTTCTCCTCTGTGGAAACATTAATTCCTTATCCTAGTAAAAAATGCTAGGTAATTACAATTGATATTTAGAACAATTGAATTTCAAATTGTCATGAGGAATTTATGAGTGGTCTACATATTTTCTGCTAGAATTTAAAAACAATAAGAATAAAGTTAATTTACTTAGTGCAAAGTTACGTTTACATATTTATCTGTTTTCGTCTGCCAAAAACTGTGCATGGGTGAATTTGTACTGTAATTTATACTTTAATATTCATGGAAAAAGTATGAGTGGTCATTATTGATCTGTTATATCTATATCGAACTTGTATAAATCAAATTTGATAGTAAATTTAAACTGAATTGTGAACTCCACATGTTCCAAAACAGAGTTTTTGTAAGTCTAGGTGTACATTGTCGACAACTTGATCAACACTTTATCTTTATATATCTCTATTTACAACAGCAGAGCTTAAGATGAAAGACGAAAAAACCTGTTACACTGATGATTGTACGCAGGTGATTAGTGTAGAATTGATTTAAGAAAATTAACAAATTATTATACGGTTTTAATTTGTTGATGTTATATAAGTGATTCATAAGTGTCTTTTCTAAGACATGAAAGAGAGCTACAAGAAGTGTATGGAATGAAATCGTCTGCAGGAATCATCTAATTGCTAATGGTCAATCACGTTTAAGCAATGTGTCCATGTGGCTGTTATACGCAGTCTGCAAACAGTCTATGAAAACTTCAAAAATTCGTAAAATATGTAACAGTTTCGCATTAAATTATCATTTGCACAATAAGTATTCTCATAATAGTAAATATTTAAGAGAAAAAATTGTAAATTAAATATTCGTCAAAAGATGGCGCTAGTGGCTTTTATAATATAATAAATGAATACTATGCGTTGAATTTGTTTATTTCAACAGTAAATGTTCTATTCGCCCTCTATCACAAGGCGTGACAAAATGGAGATGAGTAACAATGCCTGCTTTGACTGTAGTTTATCATAGCCAATAAATAGTACAGTAGACCCCTATAAAACAGGTTCGTATAATACGGATTCGTATAACACGGCGAAAAAGTTGCGATCGTATTCGTATCAATACACTAAAAGCGACTCGTAAAATACAATAAAACGTCATCTCCGACTCGTGTTGCGACAGGATTCGTCAAACTCTCAATAGATCAACACTGGATATTGCACAAACAATTGAGTTTAAATGAGCAGCAGACCTACTAAAAACCATTTATTATTTAACGGCCATAAAAAATTATATTTATATTAATGATGTCTCCTAAGTTCAGCGAACTTTTCGTACAAAAATAACTTATCAGAAAACACGCGCCTGCCGTTCAATGCGCCACACCAAGACGAAAAGCTTAAGCAATGGCGTGGTCGAACGGTGCACACTCGGTAAGTAATCCTACAATTTTTTGTTTATAGCATAGTTTATATGGATTATTCCCAAAAAATTATACGTGTTTTGGAAATGTTGAGTCAAATTTGTCTAGAATCGATTAGTTTTATAAAAGAAAACCTTTCAAACATCCGTAGTTCGTAAACTGCACACGTACCGGGCTGTGCTTGGCTCGTGTATTTAAGTAACTCGTAAAACACGGAACTTATATAAAACAGAACGTATCTACCGTGTTATAGGGGGTCTACTGTATTTTATTTTAGTTCCCGCAATGCAGAATGACCCGAGATATTCAAGATAAACTTTAGATACACCCACAACCAGAAATCTACTGGTGTTAAATCTGAACATCAAAGATTCCACGTAATCTTGCTGTGCTAAGTGGTAAGCCAGTCATTATTAAATGTTTCAATCACAAATTATTTTGTCAGAAAAGTAGTTTGAGATGGTGCCCCATTCTCCATAAATGTAAGTATAGGCAGTGCTTTTTTCATGAGAAACGCACAACAGTTGCTTACACAGGTATTTTATACAACACTACGTATGAACTGTGATAGCTAGTGTTGCCACCTTTTCAAAATCACTGACCCGGATGGCAGGTCAGGTTTGTTCGAACAGAAGTTCGACGCATGCGCAATGTCATTTTACAATGCAAAGAATAACGTGCATGCTGGTTCTAAATTAGTTACAGTTTAGGAACTATGGACTTGCGTAGGAGTAATGTAAGTAACATCCATTAAAAAAGAACAGTACAGATGATTTAGCTCTATTGGACACGGGATTGAACATGCAAAAAAATTGACAGGTTGCGCGCCACACGTTGGCGTAAACAGAAACTAACATGGCAGAATTGCAGATGAGTTTCTGTGAGTGTGAGTTCTTTCGCTGTTAAAATAGTGTAAATTGGTAAAAAAAATTTGCAAGAACTTGGTTTCATCGTAATTTCACAATTTCTACGACATTCCCGGACAAAATTAATAGTTCTCCCGTTCTCCCGGACAGTGAGTCAATTCCCGGACTGTCCGGGTATAAACCGGACGAGTGGTAACAACAGTGATAGCTTTCAGTCAGCTGTGCTTGGCTCGTGTATTTAAGTAACTCGTAAAACACGGAACTTATATAAAACAGAACGTATCTACCGTGTTATAGGGGGTCTACTGTATTTTATTTTAGTTCCCGCAATGCAGAATGACCCGAGATATTCAAGATAAACTTTAGATACACCCACAACCAGAAATCTACTGGTGTTAAATCTGAACATCAAAGATTCCACGTAATCTTGCTGTGCTAAGTGGTAAGCCAGTCATTATTAAATGTTTCAATCACAAATTATTTTGTCAGAAAAGTAGTTTGAGATGGTGCCCCATTCTCCATAAATGTAAGTATAGGCAGTGCTTTTTTCATGAGAAACGCACAACAGTTGCTTACACAGGTATTTTATACAACACTACGTATGAACTGTGATAGCTAGTGTTGCCACCTTTTCAAAATCACTGACCCGGATGGCAGGTCAGGTTTGTTCGAACAGAAGTTCGACGCATGCGCAATGTCATTTTACAATGCAAAGAATAACGTGCATGCTGGTTCTAAATTAGTTACAGTTTAGGAACTATGGACTTGCGTAGGAGTAATGTAAGTAACATCCATTAAAAAAGAACAGTACAGATGATTTAGCTCTATTGGACACGGGATTGAACATGCAAAAAAATTGACAGGTTGCGCGCCACACGTTGGCGTAAACAGAAACTAACATGGCAGAATTGCAGATGAGTTTCTGTGAGTGTGAGTTCTTTCGCTGTTAAAATAGTGTAAATTGGTAAAAAAAATTTGCAAGAACTTGGTTTCATCGTAATTTCACAATTTCTACGACATTCCCGGACAAAATTAATAGTTCTCCCGGACAGTGAGTCAATTCCCGGACTGTCCGGGTATAAACCGGACGAGTGGTAACAACAGTGATAGCTTTCAGTCAGTTCTTGGGTAAAGCTCTTCCAAGGAAGCATTCCCACAATATACGCTGTTCGCACTTACTGNATAGGTAAGCGTAGAAAATAATTCCCAATATATTTTATATCGAGACCAACGTACTTCTGATTTTTCTGTTATGAAATCTTTTTCCATCACTTTGTGTAATATGAATCCAAATAGAAGAATGGCCAATGATGTAGCGATCCATATCTAAGAATATAACAATTTATTTTTAAAAATAAGAGTATTGATTTAAATCAGAGTGTACTTACTTTTAATGAGAAAGGCTTTGTAATTGAATTCAAGTCAGAAATTATTGTAGGAGTTTTGATTACAAATCCGATCGACTGAAAGCCGAATACTGATGAATACTTCATAAATTGATAGCGCAGAGGAGTGATTGCAAAACCAATTGCAGTAAAATCCGCTTCCTATTGTAAAGAGAATAATAGAAAATTAACGTTTTACATTGAACGAAATTAAATCTTCGTTACTTCACTAAAAAAAGTTACTAAAAGTTAACCAACATAATAGTGTCATAAAAAAATTGACATTAAAATATAAAATATCACGAAAATACAAAATTGTCACAATGTGTTTGAGTAAAATTAAATAGAAAATTTCCACTTTAGAACTGTGTCTTTTATGAAATGTTTTAAACTATATTAACCAACATTATAATATTTATTGTAATCAAAATAAAGAATAATTGCTTATATTTAAATTCATTTATAAATAAGAAATTTCGGATGAGGAAAAGAGCGTGCTTGATGTATCTGTACTTTTTTCAGATTTAAAACCTTCCTCACCTGATTTACAATTTTTCCTAAAAGTCCAAACCACGATCCATTTGAGGCTAAATCTCCAGCATATTCAT